TAAATTAGGTTTTAACTGTAAAGAAAGTTTTCTAATTAAGATCGAATTGGTTGAAAAGATAGTGATTCCTCTTTTCTGGTTTAATTAATGACGATGGCATCTTCGTCACCTTTTTCCTTTTTCTCCGTTAAATCTTTGGTGATTCCTGATTTAATGAACAGTATTATAAAGATCCTTTTTTTTCTTTATTTAAAGTTTTAACAAAAAGGTGTTTTTGATAGTAAATAATGGCTTTAGAAGTCTTCCGAATCTTTAAGGAGGAAAAAAAATTGATCTCTTTTAGATTACGTAGATTTCGTCTTTTTAAATTTTTGAAGAAAAGTTCGATTCCGTGTGAAAAATCGAATTGGAAAAATTGCCACTGGAATAAGTTCTTTGGAATATTTTGCAAATAAAAAATAAGGAATCCACGTAAAAAACTTGCAGAAAACCGTGCAAAATTCTCCAGAAACCTTTCTTAAAATCGTGCAAAAGGGAACCGTAAAAAAGAAACTACAGTATATGCATGAATGAAACATTTTAGAAGAATGTGCAAGAAAGGAGTCTTCTACAAATCATAACTTTCAGAATCTCCATAATAAAAACGTAGAAAAGTAACGCTAAAAGTAACTGTAAAGTCTATTTTGTAAGGTCATTTAAATAAAAAAAAAATAATTAATTTTAAAAACTTTATTACTTATTATCTTTAAAATCGATTCATAAAGAATAAACGACGAGTGAAATTACGTGTCGCGTTATCGAGGTTCTAGTAGTGTATTGTCTTCTTCAATTTTCATCAATCTTCAATCATTGTCTCACGGGACTTCGTTTGTCGTTTCTAAAGTGATAAATTTAGAAACTTCTCGATCTTTAACAATAAGAATGTAGTAGAAATCCGCTGTTGTATCCTGGTAAACTGCATGTTTTTTGGCTTTCTAAAGACCCCACCAAGATCGGTGTTACTCTAAAATATCGGTTGAATTTCTGAACGAAAGACTACAAGTCGCCGAGGGGTTAGAAACGTGCACCGAAGTGCAAAATTACCTTAACTGGCATTTTTAAATTCGTTACACCGCATCTTTAACTATTGTATTACGTTTTCAGGTATGGCAATAACGCGGTGGCATTCTGAAAAGAGTCTTATATAGATGAAAATAAGGTTGTTGAACCCGAATCTGTAGTGTGTACGAAGTTGCGAAATCTCCTATTTAAAATACAGGATTTATAACTTTCTGTCGGTAGTGGTTCGCCTTTTTATCCTTAACAGATTAGACGCTCCGTTGGGAAGATATTTTAAGTTTCACAAATATCGAGAAAACGTGGAGGAGAACTTAATAAACAGACTATTTCGAAGTTAAATTAGAATGACCTTTTAACAAAATTGAACTAGAAAAATGCCGATTAGCTAATCGTTCACGTGATATTGTGCGTCATGTATAAGACATAAAAATAACTTGGAGAATTTAAAGAGAAGAAGAAAGAAAAGGAAAAGAATGGAAATAATCCCTCGTTATTTTCAACGAAATTTTTATATATTTTTCCTGTTTAATTAATAATGATCGAGACAAATTTCCACTGTAAATATATCAGAAAATGCTTTTAAACTGTGGCATCTCGTATGATTTTTCCTCGTTTGATCTCATCGTAACTTTTTAATATCAAAATAAATCATTAAAATTAAAAAGAAAATCTATGCCGTAACTCTATATCTTTACTGTAATTACGAAACATTATTTTTATATTAATTAATGAAGAGAATGTGTAACGTTTCTCAAACAGCTGACTAACTTTTAACTGGGTAAACTCTTTCTTCTTTTTTCCTCCATCTAAACTATCTAAAACACATCATTACTAGAGGAGAAGCATCATTTGGCCCGATCAAACTATTTTAAAACCATTTAGGTGCTACAAAACGACTTCTACATTGTTTTTTTTTTTTTTTCCAGTGGACATCTTCGTTGTTTTTAGAAGCATTTATCGATAGATTGGGTGGAGAAGAAAGATTTCTTCACCACCAATTTAAGTGTAAAGTGTGCGTTGGAGCATGTTGCATCTCAATCCCTGTTAAGCTCTCGTACTGACACGCTTCTTAATGAAACCATTCATTTTTCTCACCCCAAAATCGATTTTTTTTCTCCTCACCTCATAAATAATTCAAAAGTAATTAGCGACTAGATCTTATACAGTACATACTTCCTAATAAAAGTAAGTTATATTTATATATATTCATACCTTAAAAAAAATCCAATGTTTAATTAGTACAGTAGCATGAAAAATTAAATCCTGTTTTTATAAGTAATTTTAATGGAAGAATTTTTGTTATTTTTTGAGTAAAGTAAGTCGAGAGATTCAAATAAATCTTTAATTTAATCATTACTATTATTTATTTATTTAATTTTTTTTTTAAATAATAACCAAAATATATGTGCATTTTAAATGTAAATTCAGAAAAGTAAATTATCTGCTAGTAAAATGCATGAAATTATCTTCATTTCCATTTTCTTCTTTCTTTTTTTTTTAAATATATTTGTGCAATTAAATCCTCTCTGATTAAACTTGATCGATATTACGTCGTATCTGATTTTATTTTAATAATAAAAAAAGGGGGGAAACTAACACTTAAGCACGCAAATCATTTAAAAATGTAATTTCGCAACGAATACAAATTTTTAACTTAACGACGACGAATTGCTCTGGAATAAAAATAATTCCCCAATGTTAAATATTAGATTAACGTTTTAAAATGTGAAAATTGTCTACTATAAAGGATTTTCTTCTTTTATTTTTATTTTTTAAATTGTTGCTTTAGTAGCATTAGAATCATCTTTTAATAATTTAGCCTATTAGAATGTTAGAATTAATACTAAAAATCGTTGGCTGTACTAAAGTAGATTTGGAACTGCTCTTATATAATATCATTACAGTTATTGCTGTAGTAGTAGTAAATTTTGAAATTATTGTTGAAGTGGCAATGGAAAAGTATTACTTTTATAGTATTTTAACTACTATTCTGGCAATTATATATATCTGTTTTTGCCGTTGAAAGCATTGAAATTTCGAGTTAGAAATAACTGCAACTATAGTAACAACTTAGATACTGCAGTTAACTGAAAATTATATCAAGCAATTACTTAGTTTCGATTAGCAACGTTGCGGCATTCGATGCGGGTGTAGAGAAATGAACTTATTTGTTGCAACGAATACCCGAACACTGCCTTTTGTTAATGTGTTTAAAAATGGAACCTTTATCGCTAGTAATTCTTCAACACTAAAAATAAATGGCTGAAGATTATCTTGGTGCTTTTACAAAAATTCCTACACCTACAGTAGCATACTTAACTTATAAATAGGATGCAATAATGTTGAAAAAACAGGCTGATTGATTGGTCGAATACTGTCAATTTTAATTATTTTCGCAGAGATAAACACACAAAAATCGGTTTACTTTATCAATACCGTCATGACAAATCGGAGATTACTCTCTTTTTTTCCCACAAAATTCTATTGATTATCGTGTAAAGTTATCAATCTCCGATTGTGTAGTTTTAACTGGCAGCCCACGTCCAATTAGTTGAAGTTTTTCTCGCGTATTGTCACTACAATAGCGCTTTTTGTTCTCGAGCAGTACTTAAAATTACTCATAGGAGAGAAGAATAATAAAAAAAAATAAAAAAATCGTTATTATTTAATAATGGAGCTATGTTGGTCGTTACGCTTATTACTGTAACAGCATCATCATTGTTTAAGATAAAAGAAAACAATAATAAAATAGTTTTTTTTTTAGGTAATTTGAAGATAGGAAACCACAAAATGTAACATAATCTCAACTTAAAATCGATATTTAAAAAAAATTGTAAACTAGAGAGGTAATTCTTAGAAAATTTATTGGAATGCCCTTGTTACTGCTACAATAACAGGGATATTGAAAGGGGAAGTTGGGGATTTTTCTACGAATCCGATGAAAACTTAGGAACCCGCACGTATAAAAGTAACGTTAAGGCTTCTGTTAATATTCTATTTAAAAAAAAAAAAAAGGCAAAAGAGGCCCGCCTGCCTCCAGGCCCCATACCAAGCTTTGAATGTCCTCGAGCAGTAAAGAAAAATCCATAAAGCTATAATTAAATTATCGCCGGTGTTTTCGGTAATGGATTAATGTCATCACACCGCCGGTTTATGACGTAATTTAACGTAATGTTAATTAACGAACGATGTGATGCGGCTACCGAGATAAAGCGTTACTTCATTTATGAGGTAATTTATCTTTTATTTTCGATATATTTTTTTTCAAATTTATTACAGACACTTTCTCTAGATAAACGTATTAAAGAGGATTACACGGGTTATAATCCCGTATACAGGTATTATCAGGAACGGGACCTTTGTCGCCCTAGGAGAAAGTTTGTACTACTTCACGCTGTTCCACTTTCGTTGTTGGGTTCGGATCGATTTTGGTAGCACAGTTGACCTCATTCGAAATAGCACAGCTACCTCGTCATACACGGACAAACCTTCTGATAATTAGGACTCGTAATGTAACCCTGTAAATCCTTAGCTAATCCTAGGGATTAAATTACACTATTAAAGAGGCGATTATCCCTAATCAGGTAGGATAGACACTTCTGTACTATAATTAGCTAAAACCTTATTTAATTAGCTTATATATTTTACGAAATATATCTAAAAAATTATATTTTTTAAAGTTTTCTCTCTAATTTAAAATAAATGTTTTTTTTTTTTTTTAGCATTATCGACAGTTTTCCTTTCTTATTAAGGTCGCTGTAGTTGTTACTAAAGTAGTATTTTTTTTTGAGTGAATTTACAATGTTTGATCCACTAGAATTGTAAATATATATTGTGATTTATTGTGTAATTATTTCGTCAAAGTGTTGACATAATTGGGTTTAACTGGGAGATGTGGAGGGATGAAGACTACACTCGACCTTGCATCTTCTAAAAAATGCTTCCGGCATTACGTTGTTTGAATCTTGATCGTTTGTCCTGATTTGGTCGTGTTTTTTTTTCAAGGAGGTTAACACATATTTATTGCTGCTTTACGTCTTTATTAAGGTGGCTAAATTTATTACTATAGTAGTGTTCCCCCCTCTGTAATATTATACGAAAAATCCCTCTAACTATCCTACTACTCGCTTTTCTTCTTACTAAGGGCTGATTTTTATGCTACTGTAGTCATATAAACTTACAAATATAATTGTTTAACTAGATTATCAAGTTACATAATAATCCCAACCGATACACGTGCGTTAAAGTTATAAAATGAAGGTAACAAATGCTATTTATGGTACTAGTTTGTCCAGTTTAGTCGCTACTACTACATTAATAAACGAGAATTTAGGGAATATCATTTGTTTAATTGTTCACATTAATTTAGTAACTCGTAAATCAATGTGTAAGTACTATTATTTTCTTAATATTCAGTGTTTAATAAATGACGTATGGTATTATAATAACGGTTTTAATTAATAACTCTTTTCTTTTATTCGATAGCAGAAAACTCATTACACTCGAATTAATTGGTATAAATGTTAATAGAGCAATATTCATTCACTTAATGGAAGGTTATTTAGATGATGATGATGCGGCAGACATTTTTGAGTGCTTACTGTTATCGTAACAAGCGGAAAAAGGGAGAGTTACGCTTATAAAATATACATAATTACATGGCAAACAGCTTTAAAAAGAAATCCTAATTATCATTAATTACTTAAAGGAAGTGTGCTTTAAAAAATTTGTTACCGTAGAAGCGCGCTGATCACTAAGATAATTCGAGTCTTTTAATACATCAATGCTGCCATAACAATAACCTTATTGTTATTATTATTATAATAGCAAACAATAAGGAAAAGATAAATTAATTCGACTAAAGAAAGCAATAATAAATCTGTTTTAGATTTTTCCTTATACTAATTGTTAAGTCACGTGTTTTTAATATCTGCTAGCTAAAGAAAAACGAGGAGAAACCTTCGAGAAATTTGATAGATAGATTATTGCGGTTCAAAGGTCACGCGGCTGCGGTCAACAGAACTATATTAGCCGTTTTAATTAACCGAAATTGGCAAGTTAATTGCGTAAAGATAATTGATACCGAAAACAGACAGACAGACAGGCAGACGGATTGCGCTTTTTTTGTAATAGTAGTACCAGATGCATAAGGAAATAAAAGAAGTTTAAGAGGAAAAATAGGGGAATAACAATCGATTGAATGTTGGACGAATGCCAATTTTCAATCGGGGTATTTTTTCCCCTCTTTTTTCAATTTATGGCATCGGCCACGTCACGTGACGCTGGAAATAATAATAATTTGTTTAAGAATCACTTATTAAGGGTATTAGATTCTCGTAAATATTCGCTAAATTCCCCAATTTATCTTCGCTGTAGTAGAATGAAACTATTGATTTACGATATTAGTCGAGGTGTGTTTACATATATATCAGAGTTTACTACGTAGGTATTGTTAAACAATGCGATATGTTTAATATTTAACAAAGTAAACAAGTCCCATTCAATTCCCTAAAGGTTAAAAGAAAACAAAAAGCTTGGAAACAACTTGGCAAACCTCCAAATGTCGCCAAATAAAATGGTTGATGTTACGTCAGTACTTGGCTTCTCACCTCCCTGTTGTAAACTATGTTAATGTTTTACGTGTTTTCTCCTTTGATCTATAGTTTAGTGAATTGTTTTTATATACTTATATATTAAATTATGAAAGGTTTATTTATTTATTTATTTTTTTTTTAAGAAAATTTAGATTATTTGACCCGGAATAATGTGTGGTTAGGTCTTTCTTACAAACAATACGAGAAGAAGAAACGGGAGATAAATAAAAGTGGAAGAAACAGATTAGTCTGATAAACAAGAGAGGAAAATGGATTGCCTATTGAATAGATATGGAAGGAAAAAAATCTAAATGGAAATAGAAGAAAAGGAGTATAGTATTTACCAGGCAGATAGGAAAAAATAAACATTACTAAATGGATACAGGAGAAAGGAGCGCTAACAGGTGAAGGAGATAAGCACGTTTTAGAAGTGTTTTTCCTAAATAAGTATAAGATAAAAGTTTAGTAAATTGCCAGAAAATAAAAAAAGATATACAGTACTATTAAAAGAATTAAATAAAAATTTTATTAAAGACGAAGGAGGATTGTTTAACAAGCGGAAGAAGGGCATAGCTAACTAAATAAAGGTAAGAAAACAAGGAACAGTATAGTCAACAGATGGAATAACAGGAAATTTGACTAATCAAAATAAGAAGAAAATGAATGTATTAATGTTGAGTAATATTAGAAACGAATATTTGAGAAATAAAAAGGAATATCCTGATTAAATATATGTGGGAGGAGAGGATGTAGGCTGCTTTTACAAGCAATTTGAAAAAAAAAGTAGAAAAAGCCGAGTAACCGAAGAATTGAAATAAAAAACAAGAGTAAATTTTAATCATTAATCAAATTTTTATGTAATTTGATTTAGTTTTTGTTGCTAGAAATTAAAAAAGAGGAAAAATCGAAGACGATTTATATACAGCTTATACATACTTGTACTGTATAAGATAATTAGATTATCTTAATTCAATAAATTTTCCTTTCTTTAGAATTATTTAATGAATAGTTTAATAACGATTTGCTTCACTTAACCGATTTACTAAAATATAATTGGAAGGGAAATTTTTTCATCTCGTACTATCCACGTAAATAGAGAGTGAGAGGATTTCTTTGAGTCGCATGAAAATCTTGTATCCAGAAAGAATAGGATAATATAAAACGATTGTTAGAAATTATTGACGCGGATCGGATTAAGGCTATCTTCACTCTATTTTACCGTAAAGGAAATATATTTTTTGATTCAATTTCGTAGAGCAGAAATTCTATCCAATTTATTTTCCGTAAATCTAAATCCTCGTACTACATATTTAAAGGTCTTGTATAATTAATGAATCCGTCTCTTCGTTAATCCATTCGATCCATAAACAAACGAAAGCGTTAATCCGCTAATATTTTCATCTGTTTATAAATTCTCACTTTCCAATTATACAAATACCTTCTACTAATGCAATATTATGCTTCTTTTCACATTTATACTAGAATGTCTCGTTCTATCTTCACATTATTCATTTCATCCCTACTGAATTTTCTCTTTCTTTTCTATTATTTTTCCCCTTATTTCTTTTTGACTATACCAGTCGACCCCCCTATAACACTGTTGATAATTCCATTTTACATGAATTCCGTGTTGTATGAGTCACTTAAATTTTACAAATACGTGTGCCGGGCTGTGAACAGCTTACATATTTGTAAAATCTAAGTGACTCGTACAACATGGAATTCATATAAAACGGAATTATCAACAGTGTTATAGGGGGGGTCGACTGGTACATCTTTTTCTATCTTCGTTTAGTAGGCTATATGTTCTTTTTTGTTTGTTTGTTTGTTTTTTCCTTCTCCCGTATCGTCCTCTTCCTCCTCTTCATCGCATCCTCATCATCGTCTCATCCCTTTTACTCGCCATTACTTATTCATCTCTTCGTAATACTCGCATTTTCTATGTAATCTTCTTCAATTTAGATAGAATACTCTCTATCCATCATGCTTGCTTACACTTTTCTCAGGTAACTCAGCCAGATATTCTTTTCTTAAATCTCTTTCATAACTTTCTGTTTATACATATTTTGTCGTGTCTTTGCTATCGAATTTTTTTTTCTTAAATATTTGTTTTAATAGAATATTCATTCTTAAATCGGTTATTGATAAGAATATCCCAATAATCTGCTTAACAGAATATTTTTCTTTCACTTTACTTAACGCCATCATCTTTTCTTTTTTTATTTTACTTCTATTCAATAGATTTATAGATTAGTCTACTACTATTTGAAAACGTTTCGTTTTATCTCTGTCAGACAGCATGTATTTTTTTTCCTCCTCAACATCCGTTTTGTGAAATGTTATCTTTGTTTTCTTTTTTAGCAAAGTTCCTTTTCCTATCCGAGATCTGTCTCAAGGATCTTTACCTTTTTAAAACTAAAGCGATAAAAGATTTCGGTTCCTAAGTGCAGACACTACGCACCGACGACAGCTAATTTCATTTCACGATTCGAAAACTTCGGTAATTTATTATTAATTACCTTAGTTATTAATAATTCCGACTACTGTGCATCGAATCGGGTGCACCTGACGAATTACTTTGGAGATTCGGAAGATCATTCACCCGTTTCTTGCAGCAACCCATCGAAGAATATTCGGTATATTATATGTAACGCTCGAAATTTTTATCATAAAAGAATCGCATAAACTATCTAATGGATTCGTGTATGAGTGTGTGATAATCCCGAAGTAACGTGTCTCTAAACATCGATATCGGGACGAGAAACTCGAGGAAACGTCAATAAAAATCGATTTTCTGGAAATACACAACGTAGAATTTTTACGCTGTTTACTTTCTTCGACTGTTTATTACAGTTCTGTGTTATTTTAAAGTTTAGATATTCGCATTCACCCCGCACAAAATTATTATAGACACTTTTTTTATTTTCTTTTTTTTTTTTAAGAAGTACTTTCGGCTCGAAGCTGTAGCAAAAATTTCTCCTCTTGGGCCTTTGTTGACAATGAAGTGATGGTGCGGAAATGGTAACTAAATAAACTTTGATCAAATTGTTTACCAAGTAATTTCGGTTAGATGTTATCGAAGGCACAAAAAGGAAGTTAAATTCTTAAGAAAAATAATAATAATAAAAGGAATCTGTTTATACGTGGAATCTCTGAAGGAACACTATTCCACACCTACTCTATTCCTCTGAAAGAACACTGCTCCTACATTTTTTTTGTACTACTGAACGATCCGTTTATTATTTAAATTGTTTACTTCTTCATTTATTATAGTTACGTATTCGTAATTTAAAATTGCGCCATGTTTCGTTTACAGGAAATTTCTAAGCTAAGGTGTATAGGATATCGATCCGAAGGCCAAAGTGTTCATTAAAGAGATTACTACTTCAGATTCGTGTCCAGGAAAGATTCGTTTAATCTTTTTGATTCACTAACGAAGGAAGAAGTTGCAATCGTTCCTTTGCTCGATCACGTAACGACTACGAATGCAATTATGAAGAAAGGAGTTTGTACATGGCTTCGCTCGTTACGCTTAATTGAAAATGTTACAAGACGGAGCATAAATTTCGGATTTTTTAACATGGAAACTAAGTTATACATTTAGTTTCTACTGGATGTTGGAGTAAAAATGAGTAATTTATCTTATTTTTTTTTTAAAAGTAACAACGAGTTATTGTCTTAAACTATTGAGAAGTATAATAAAATCGTCCACTCTACAATTAAAATTTTAACATTTTAGAAATGTATTTGGTAAATATTTTCCAATTTAGCAAGAGGAAAGGTCTTCCAATTTCTTTATTACGTTTCTTTTTGTTGTAGAAGAGAGCAATATCATTATATTTGGATAACCCTCATAAAACTTTCAAATGATGCGGAGGAGGAGGAGGAAGATTCAAAAACGCAGTTGTAGATGGAGTGGGAGCACAAATATCGAGGATGTGGGACGAAGATAGGCTACATTTCACGACAAGAAATACTAATAGAAAAAAAAAGAAAGTAATAAAAGTCTATCGCTTGCTTGACTTATTAAGTTTAGAAGTGCTAAAGCGTTAACACTCAGTAAGATATTGCAACAGCGATGATCCTTTCTAGAAAATTGCAAGACAGAAAACAAAATAATTTGCTATCGAAACGTATTAAATTCTTAATAACTAGAAACGGATACCACGAAATCACTTAACATTAAAAGCTTTACTCTTTTTTTTTCTGTAGATAATGTAAAGTATATCGATTTAACTGAAACTAGAGAAGATTTAGAGTCGCGGGATGCGTAAATAAATATGTAAATATTGAAATAGGGAAGTTTAAAAATGGAGTTTAACAATGGCGGAAGTTGGGTACAAAACCCGAATTCAATTTATTTTTATTAGGAAGAGCGTCAGATGTTTGGCATTCTGCACGCATTCATAAATTGTTTACTCCACTCATTAAACAGGCACACGGAAGTGGAATGTACAAAACATCGATTAAAACGTATAAAAGGAGAAGGTACAGCCGAATTACATCTGTATATCTACTATAGGATTGTTGCTATAGTAACAAAATTCGATATTCCCGGACACCTGTAAGATTATTATATAATTTATATATTGTATACAATTCTATAGTTATAACAACAATAACAATCGATATTTTATTTAATAGTTAACTATAAAACTCGAATTTTAATTATGTTTACGCATCTTAATGGTAGTTTGGAATTTATAATTTAATTCCCATTAATCGGATTTAATGCCTCTTCCAGGGATGGATACTTGAACACGATTTTAATCTCTCGTGATGTTACTTTATTTACGTTTCTACTCCTCTTCGTTTACAATTGCTCCGGTTATTAAAGGAGATTTAATATTGTTTAATAAGGCAAAAATAAAGTCGAGTGGATTTTTTTGTGTATTGCGAGAGTTAATTGGCTTGTGGCTGATAAATTAAGAAGTTGCACGAGTTTCAATAGGAGAAAGGGTAAAATTCTAAGTGATGCGGATAAAACAATTAGTGGCTTTTATGAATAAAAGCATAAAAGGGTTCTAAGAGAATGCATTTATTTATTAAGAAAAAAATATATATATATTATATTATATATAAACTTGGAATTAAGAGAGATGGGAATGGATAATGAGGAAGGAAGACGTAGGAAATTTAAGAGGAGGGGAAGAGTTATGGAAATAAAAATTCCGGAACTGAAAGGAATTAGGAAAATCTGTAAGGAAATTGGAGATGTTAAGTACATATTTATATATTTTTCTCTTCTTTTTAACTGAACAGAAGAGAGACTATAAGAAGCTTCGTATGTACACGCGCTTTATTGGTTTATTTATCCAGACTTTTATTCTTTTTAAATAAAGCAACTCGGTAGAGAACGTTCTACCTTCAATTCTAATGATCTTCCTCTGCAAAGTTTTAGTATATTTCTAGAAAGTAAATTGGAAAAAATCCGGATAAATTGACTGGATTTGATGCACGCACGATACATATTGCTGTATACGATTTGGAATTAGTTCCTACCATAACAAAAGCATATAATAATAATAAGGATATAAGACTAGGCAAATCTCTTCTTCTACGGCATTTATTTAAGTAGGAGTCGAAACAAGAAGAATTTACTAACATATTTCTTTTTTTTTTTTTTTTTTTTTTTTTTTTTTTTTTTTTTTTTTTT